GTTCAGGCTGGCGGCGTCGTATACGTCTGTCTAGCAGATCCTACAAATGTTCAATGGGGTTGAGATCCGACGATTTGGATGGCCATGGCAGCACATTAACATTGTTGTTGGCAAGATAACCCACAGTAACACGTGCGGTATGCGCTCTGGCGTTGTCTTGCTGGAAAATCTCTCTTCTGACGTCAATGGCGGGAATAAGGTGACGTTGGAGGATTTCATCACGGTAGCGTACAACAGTTAAATTTCCATGCACGTGCACCAGATCTGTCCCACCATTCAAGGATATGCCTGCCCACATCATGACACTCCCACTGCCGTATCTATCGACTTCACGAATACAGTGTAGCGTTCATTTCGCCGTCGGTAGACACGCATCCTACCATTATGGCGATACAGCAAGAACCGCAACTAAACCAGATCCTTCTCCAGTGCACTAGGGTCCATGGTCGAACGTTTCTGCCCCATTGCAGACGAGCACGACGATAATGATGCCGCAGCACAGGTGCTGTATGTGGTCGCATTTGTCGTATCCCATGTTGTAACAGGCGCTGTATGTGGTCGCATTGGTCGTATCCCATGCTGTAAAAGGTGCTGTATATGGTCGCGTTGGTCGTATCCCATGCTGTCGTAGGTGATTTCTGATGGTTTGCGCTGATTGTACGAAGTCCAGGAACATTGTTGGCTGTGTATGCTGCACTGATTGTCCGGTTGCGCCGTAGTTCTGACCCTTGGTCTACCAGATCTCGGTCCAGGTCTCCATCGATCTCTTGTAGAGTTGTGGAGTCTGTAGCTCTGCCACAGACGGGAGATGTGCCTGGCTACTGATGACTGACTTTCTCCAGCTTCCAGACGTCCAATGGCTCTGTTTCTACAATCTTCATTCAGTCTTGGCATCTTGAGGGTCGCATATACGGAATAGCTTAGGGTGATTCGCAACGGGACTGTCAGATTTTTATACCCATCGGTATGTAGCTTTAGTACGCGTATTTGCACGTGCAACATGCTTACAGCTTTTTCTCCATGCGATTTCTCCCAGTTTAAATTCAAGGTGCTGTATTTTGGCGACAGTTCACCAAATGTTGCGTTCGTTTGCAATGCAATGAATTAGTGTAAGGGCTGTATTCACTGTTACCATTGACATTTATATTGATTTCAAGCATTTATATTAAAAACATTCTACTTTGAAAAACAGATTTTACCTATGCGTTTCTTTTTTTGCCCAGTATATAACAGTATAGTAATAGTCTATATAAATACAAGTTCACAGTGTATGATGTTCTGCTCTGCCAAATCTAACAAAGGTATGATACTTAATGCTACCTTTATTTTACTATACTACCTTTATTATAATTATTCAACTTCTAAAATGCCAATCAAACAGATTATTTGCGAAAGCTGGTTATAATATTGATAATGATAATGACACTGGCGGTATTCTAAATAGTACCATTACAATAGACGAAATATTATCAGCTTTAAATAATTTAAAATATGGCCACGCAGTAGGACCTGGTGGAATACCTCCAGAGATGTGGAAGCATGGAGGTGATATGTCGTTACCCAATTTACATGTATATTTTTAACGGTATTTTTAATTCTCGATATTTTTCCTATACAGTGAAGTATTATTTTGTCCTCTTCATAAGAAAGACAACGTGAATGATGTTACTAATTACAGATGAATTTCATTAACAGGTCATTGCGGGGAAATCGTTACATGTATTCAACAGACTGGAAGATGTTATAGACTTGTATAACAACTACAGAGACTGCCAGGCAGGTTTTCGTAAAGTATATTCGATTGTTGATTAATACTTTCACACTTCAATCGCTGATTCAAAAATATTTATCGAAATCGAAAGGTAGATTCTATTGTCTATTTGTGGGCTTTCACAAAGCATTTGATTGCTTCCTTCTATGTAATGCCATATCAAAACAAAGTATTCATGGTAAAATGTTACCATAATTCGTAACTCCACAGTTGCAGCAGCTGTGACATTATCTAACATTAGCATTTCAGAATATTTCAGTTGCTTAAGTGGTGTCGGACACGGTTGTATATTAAGCCCGCTTCCATTTTCCTTGTTTATTAATCAACTTGAAGATGAATTACACTACTCTCTGGAATTATATTTATTTGTTATATGACTATGATTTGTGCATGTTCTCTGATTCTATATTTTGTTCACAGAAGAAAGTTGATGTTCTGGCATCCTTCTGTAAGAAGTGGGGCTTGAAAGTTAACATCAACAAAACAGAATCCTTGTATTTCAATGTTGAGGTAAGCTACAAATATTGAAAGGTGGATGTATAATGATATTAATCTGAATATTGCAACGTACTATAGTTATTTAGGAATTATATTTTCAAATAGATTAGCCAAAACTTTGATTCAGGAAGCAAGCAAAGCATTTATTCTTATTGAACAATTGCATTTTAAACTGAAAAGTCAGTACTGTTTAAAACGTTTAATTTTCAACTAAAGCCTATCATTTTGTATTGCTCAGATATTGGGGGTTGGCACAAGTGGGAAACAATATTGTGCTATTTCACGCACAACTTTGTAAATTTGTATTGGGATTTGGAAAATCATCAACAAATGAAACTGACTTAAGGTGAGTGTGGAATTTTAATATTTATTGTGCAACGTTTACAAATTGTGTCAGATACGGGTGTAAACTTGTAAGCATGTGGAACAGTTACAGTATGTTACAGACTATAGGATTACATGGACCTCACCTATTAAAAAAATGCTTTACTTTTTTGTTTTGTTGAAGAAAAATCAAGGTGATTATGATTTGTTTGTCCGTGACTCTAATTCAGAATTATAGAATTAAAGATTGCTACATCCAAACATGGTCTGCTAAGACCAGTGATCACTCAAATTTTGGATATCATGCATTTGTATAGTTTACTTTCTCCGTGGAACCATATTTCTTGAAAGCATGTCATAAAGTTTTTCGACGCATGTTAACATTATTAAGAATCGGTGAACTACAGAAAATGAACAAATTTGGTAGCAGAGAGGATATTTTTTAGAAATTTGAAAATTTGAACATTTTGTCATAATAATATCATCGAAAATGAATTTCATTTTATGGTTATATGATCTATGTATTATGATTGAAAACAGAAATAATTCCAAACATAGTTTAAAACAAAACAAAAGCTTCTGTATACACGCAATTCTGAAGATTCAATTACCTTAATCAAGTGCTCAAATAATGTCAAAGAAGCTTTATCTTTACGTTCCTCACTGTTATGATAGTAAACCCTCATCTGTACAGTTTTCCAACCACCACCAGACTGTATGTATGTATTGTTTTGTTACATGGACCTGTGGCTTTTATACTGAATAAACGTCTTCTTCGTAGTGAAGTGAGTGGAGCCCATTTCTGGTGTCCCCCGCCGTGATATTGCTGGAATATTGCTAAAAGCGGCGTAAAACCAAACTCAGTCAGTCAGTCAGTCTTCGTAGTGAGACGCCAGATGTAACCTAGTGTCGACTCACAGATAAAACAAATTCCATTGAACGTGAAGGGTAAATTAGCGGCGAAAACGAAATGTCTAGACCATCGAAAACCAGTCGTCACACTTGATAGGAACCACCATCAGATATACTACACCAAATCAGATTCCGCTGGCATTTCAGTGCAGGCAGAATTATCTGGCAGCTGTGATTGGATGTTTTTGGTACGATTTTTGTGATTTGCAAATGTACATCCTTCCGGTAATTATTATTGACCCATTGTTCAATATTTAGTGCCAGTTATTAAACACAGTGACTTATGCTGAATGTGTGCCGAGATATTTTCAAGCAGGTGACATTTGCTGCGGAACTGGGGTTGGTGTGCTCAACTTCCTGTACTCGGAAAAGGAGTTGATTAACCCAGCCCAAATTTGTGTTTTCATTGTGGCTTTAAGGTCATACTGTGCACATACATAGACTTAATGGATGTTAACGGCCTGGGGTTTTAAGACAATGTAACGTGTCTATGGAAATCTATGGGAAAACATTTGTTTTTGTGTAACCTTTAGTACTTGGGGAAGAGCTGAGTCTCAATCCACACAATCTCATTACTGATCCAGTAAACTGATAACCTGACAAATTCAAACATGTCATTTGATTTAATTTACTTACGGGACAAGTGCTTTCAAACAACCCTTTCTACTAGTTTACCTGTAATAAAGGCATTTCGCGAGTGGATAGCAACACACATAATCGAAAACATTTCAGAATGTTAGAAATGAGATTCAAACACCCGTTATTGGAATCCAGCGGCCACGTGTACCACTGTGTTACCACACACCAACTGTCGTATTTAAATGTCATTAGTTCAGTTTCATCAGGTCGGCTTATGTCGCGATAATTTATCACTAGCACACGAAATATGACGCAAACACAATATCAACTGTTTGGCATTCACCTCTTTATGTTTCATTCGGATACTGATGGATATGCTAACTGGGAGATTTGTTGTGGAATCTTTTCAACAAAAACCGGCACAGTTGGTACCCGTGTTCTATAATTTCTACTGCTCACGTCATTTTCCAGTTTTGTACATCGCTAATCCCGGTAAACCTAATTGATTTATGGAATGTTTGTGTGAGTTCATTAGTTGATGTGTTGGCAGGATTACACACCAGTCTCCGAGTTACTTCAACAAAACTGAAAACATTGACCGTAACCGAATCCTGGCAAACATGTCTGAAGTAATGCCTGAGACATCCTACTGACTATTCAGTATTGAACTGAAATATAATTTATGATAAGTTTATTGAATTGAAAAATAATAATAAGTAACTCGGTAATGCGTGTCTGGCACAAAGCATGGTGACACAGGTGGAAGGTGGCGAGATTGAACCACTCAGTTTGTGGAGATAAGAATCAGAGATACGCGGGAGGCTGTATAAGATGGGGCTGTCTTAAGGCCGTATCGATCTGCAAGCCACTTAAACTCGGTGATACTCGCGGGGACCGGGTGATTACTATTGTGAGGGTCTGGTGGTTGTGACACACACAGTTGCATGGTAATGAAGGCACTGGCCCCCAGCGTGTGGCCCTGTTTGGTTTACCTGGCTGGAATACTTCAAGTGATTCAAGGTAAAACATATGAATTCTTCCTATGTATTATGATCGTTTTAGAAATTATTGTTAAATTCAAATACTTTGATTAATTGTATTCTGGAATTTATGTCTGTGTAACTTTCTTTGGAAATGTCCAAACTGTACAAGGGATAGTCACAGTGCAAATCTTGCTGTGGAACCATGCAGGTAGCAGAATATTTGTATTTTTCGTTAGTCACCATGGCCCCTGGTGCTGTGGTCTACCTCAGTTGTTTTTAATTTTATGTCGCTGAATAAGTTTATTCTTTTACATACTCTCAAACTAGGTTTGAGCAAAATCTGTGATAGTCTAGTTATTGTATTGTCCTTCGCTGACAGGAGTTTTATACAGTGTAAATATCTTTCTTGCCAATGTTTAACTCTATCCCATCCATACGGCTGTAATGTTGCCGGTGAGGCGATATTTTGGTAGCCCAGTACTGATTCTAGCTGTTTCCACTTGATATCTTTCTCTCATTCTGATCTGGTGTACATAAATCTCACATGATTAAAAATTGTATTGATCGTTCCTTGGTTTCATATGAACTTGGTTGTTTTAACAATAATGTTTATATGGCAAGACCAATCGGAAATATGAAAGCATGATATGATGCTTAATTAATTTTGGTTTAATTTCCTTCCCATCAAACTGTACTTTAATAGATCTAAATCATCCTTTACCGACAATATAATACCTTCCATTTTATCAGGATTGAATAACATATACCAACGTTTGCCCGATACGTGCCATCATGCTAGAATTCTGTTTTGTAGCATTGCACTAACGCTGGCTCAAACCTCAAGTGATGTGTCGTCAGTAAATAACCTTTCTATTTCTTATCTGCTTTGTCATTAATATAAACAATTTAAAGAAAACGCCATAGGAGAGACCCTTTATGAATCTCAAGCTTCAAATATCTTGGCTGTGATTGGGCTCTATGAAAACACGGATTACGATTACATGTAGTTATGTTTTAAAATCCATTCTCAAACAGGATTATTGTTTGGGCAAGTTATAGGATTAATTACAGAAATGCCACAGAATTTGAAAGCATGTGCAATTTGTTTCTTTACGACTAAAACAAATAACGATAAAGACTCCTGTTGGATTAAGTCATATGCAGTCAAGACGTCATGTGCAGATAGGGAAGAATTATGGGAAATATCGCTTTCTCGCTCTATCGCTTTCTCGCCCTGCTATATAGCTTTCTCGCTCTGTCGCTTTCTCGCCTTGTTATATAGCTTTTTCGCTCAATCGCTTTCTCGCGCAATGATATCGCTTTTCCATCTCGTGCTATCGCTTTCTCGTCTCGTGATATCACTTTCTCGTTTTCTCGCGGCCGAATTTTAATGTGAGAAAGTGATGGCCCTAATCAGCCACCATAATATTTAGCAGTGTCCCTTTTGCACCTGTACCTGTTTACGCTTGCCATAGGGGCGACCCCTGTCGGAGCCATCTCTAGTGCATGTCTTGCTTATTCAGGTGTATCCTATCTCTATCTGAGCGAGGCCAGAAATTATGAGCAGGGGAAATTACTCTGTCTGAAGTTTGGTCTTGACCTTGCAAAAGTGACATCAGAAGCCGACATTGATGACCTCCACAACATATACGCCAACATCCCAGGGTAAGAAAATGTGTTAAAAGTCAGTCATGGACATCTTGCGTCTGGGTATGGGTAGTTTGCATTAGAAAATCGTCGCTACATTGTGCAGAATGATGTTGCCGTCAATACATATGGACCTCCATAAAAGGTGTTTCGCAAGACGAGGTTTCTGATATAGAGGATTCTTGTCTATCGAGATGAAAATAGTACAATAAGGTGATAAATCTGAAAAACGTCTTTTTGTGATTTAATTTTATAATTTAATATCAGCAACAATAAAATGGATAAGGACAACGCTAGAGAATGATTAGTGTCGATTATTTGGTATAATAGACACATTATAACAAGCATTACAATTATGTGATTAGGTAAGTGAAAATCAGTGATGATGTTGGGCGGTCGGGAAATTGGTAACCATGTCCTGCTATCGCGAGAAACTATCACAATTTCCGCGACATAGTAAGTGTTTGTGACCCGTGAAGATCCCTCAGCACCCCATGCTTGCCGTAAGAGGCGACTAACGAGATCGGTTGGTCAGGCTCGCTGACTTGGTTGACACATGTCATCGCATCCCAATTGTGTAGACCGATGCTCATGATGTTGATCACTGGACTGTCTGGTCCAGAGTCGATTATTTACAGACGGCCGCCATGTAGCTGGAATATTGCTGAGTGCGTCGTTAAACAATCAAACCAAACCAAACTCAAAAAGTCTCTGTACGAAGGCGGCCCACCAGTCTTGACAAAACAATCCAGTAATGGACCACACAATTCAGTGACACGATAGCTCATTTGCTGAAATAACTGAAGTTAACAACATACCATTCTGACTTATGTAGGCTGTGGAGAAGTACAGAGATTCTGCTGCTTATAATTGCTAAATGTGGCTGAGCTGATCAGTTTTCGGGTTCTTTTGTCCACAATCGTAAAAACAGTAGATCCCAATCAGCCTGTTGAAACGGCTGGAAGTATAGGCAAAATGTAAGTGTAAGCTCGTACTAATAACGTTCTATATTTATTATTCATATACTTGTAGGGCGACGGTGGCATGGATGGGTCTTCTCTACAATGGTAACCAGTTTCTTTGGGCTGACGGGACCCCGGTACAATATTCTCGCTGGAACAACATCCTTGACGATGAACCGGATGACCTTGGAAATTCCAAATGTGCAGTGGTGAAACAGGACATCCTCCTTTGGCATACAAGGAAATGTCCCAACGAGTATCCGTTACTGTGCGGCCCGTACCCAACACTCGGTGAGACACGACCCTATCCTATCATTTACTGTGGGTTCCCTACCTAACACTAGGTAAGACACGACCCTAACCTAACATTTACTGTGGGTTCCCTACCCAACACTAGGTGCGACATGATCCTAACCTAACATTTACTGTTGGTTCCCTTCCCAACACTAGGTGAGACATGACCCTAACCTAACATTTACTGTTGGTTCCCTACCCAACACTAGGTGAGACATGACCCTAACCTAACATTTACTGTGGGTTCCCTACCCAACACTAGGTGAGACACGACCCTAACCTAACATTTACTGTTGGTTCCCTTTCCAACACTAGGTGAGACACGACCCTAACCTAACATTTACTGTTGGTTCCCTACCCAACACTAGGTGAGACGACCCTGACCCTAACGTAACATTTACTGTGGGTTCCCTACCCAACACTAGGTGAGACACGACCCTAACCTAACATTTACTGTGGGTTCCCTACCCAACACTAGGTGAGACACAACCCTAACCTTACATTTACTGTTGGTTCCCTACCCAACACTAGGTGAGACACGACCCTAACCTAACATTTACTGTGGGTTCCCTACCCAACACTAGGTGAGACACGACCCTAACCTAACATTTACTGTGGGTTCCCTACCCAACACTAGGTGAGACACGACCCTAACCTAACATTTACTGTGGGTTCCCTACCCAACACTAGGTGAGACTACCCACACCCTAACCTTACATTTACTGTTGGTTCCCTACCCAACACTAGGTGAGACACGACCCTAACCTAACATTTACTGTGGGTCCCCTACCCAACACTAGGTGAGACACGACCCTAACCTAACATTTACTGTGGGTTCCCTACCCAACACTAGGTGAGACACACACCCTAACCTAGGTGACACGATTTACTGTTGGTTCCCTACCCAACACTAGGTGAGACACGACCCTAACCTAACATTTACTGTGGGTCCTACCCAACACTGGGTCCCCTACCCAACACTAGGTGAGACACGACCCTAACCTAACATTTACTGTGGGTTCCCTACCCAACACTAGGTGAGACACGACCCTAACCTAACATTTACTGTGGGTTCCCTACCCAACACTAGGTGAGACACGACCCTAACCTAACATTTACTGTGGGTTCCCTACCCAACACTAGGTGAGACACGACCCTAACCTTACATTTACTGTTGGTTCCCTACGCAACACTAGGTGAGACACGACCCTAACCTAACATTTACTGTTGGTCCCCTACCCAACACTAGGTGAGACACGACCCTAACCTAACATTTACTGTGGGTTCCCTACCCAACACTAGGTGAGACACGACCCTAACCTAACACTTACTGTGGGTTCCCTACCCAACACTAGGTGAGACACGACCCTAACCTTACATTTACTGTTGGTTACCTACCCAACGCTAGGTGAGGCACGACCCTAACCTAACATTCACTGTGGGTTCCCTACCCAACATTAGGTGAGACACGACCCTAACCTAACATTTACTGTGGGTTCCCTACCCAAGACTAGGTGAGACACGACCCTAACCTTACATTTACTGTGGGTTCCCTACACAACACTAGGTGAGACACGACCCTAACCTAACATTTACTGTTGGTTCCCTACCCAACACTAGGTGAGACACGACCCTAACCTAACATTTACTGTTGGTTCCCTACACAACACTAGGTGAGACACGACCCTAACCTAACATTTACTGTGGGTTCCCTACCCAACACTAGATGAGACACGACCCTAACCTAACATTTACTGTGGGTCCCCTACCCAACACTAGGTGAGACACGACCCTAACCTAACATTTACTGTTGGTTCCCTACCCAACACTAGGTGAGACACGACCCTAACCTAACATTTACTGTGGGTTCCCTACCCAACACTAGGTGAGACACGACCCTAACCTAACATTTACTGTTGGTTCCCTACCCAACACTAGGTGAGACACGACCCTAACCTTACATTTACTTTACTGTGGGTTCCCTACGCAACACTAGGTGAGACACGACCCTAACCTAACATTTACTGTGGGTCCCCTACCCAACACTAGATGAGACACGACCCTAACCTAACATTTACTGTGGGTTCCCTACCCAACACTGAGAGGTGAGACACGACCCTAACCTAACACTTACTGTGGGTTCCCTACCCAACACTAGGTGAGACACGACCCTAACCTTACATTTACAGTTGGTTACCTACCCAACGCTAGGTGAGACACGACCCTAACCTTACATTTACTGTTGGTTCCCTACCGAACACTAGTTGAGACAAGACCCTAACCTAACATTTACTGTTGGTTCCCTACCCAACACTAGGTGAGACACGACCCTAACCAACATTTACTGTGGGTTCCCTACGCAACACTAGGTGAGACACGACCCTAACCTAACATTTACTGTGGGTCCCCTACCCAACACTAGATGAGACACGACCCTGACCTTACATTTACTGTGGGTTCCCTACCCAACACTAGGTGAGACACGACCCTAACCCAACATTTACTGTTGGTTCCCTACCCAACACTAGTTGAGACATGACCCTAACCAACATTTACTGTTGGTTCCCTACCCAACACTAGGTGAGACACGACCCTAACCTAACATTTACTGTGGGTTCCCTACCCAACACTAGGTGAGACACCCCCTAACCTAACATTTACTGTGGGTTCCCTACCCAACAGAGGTCCTGTCTCCGGCTGTATAAGTATATGGATCTGACCAGGTCATGCGTTCAGCGATGAACATGTTGACCGAGTAATGATGCCCATTGAGTACTGGATAGTCGTTTTCAAACTTATACAAAAATGTTTTGGTTTAAAAATAATACCAAGTAAATAATGTTTATTTGTGTGGTGAATTCGTTTTGTATCTGTATTCAGATGCGACATCGGAACCGAGGACATTTTCCTTCAAAAAATGGCGAGAAGGTGTGGAGCTGCTTAGCAAACCTACGTTAATCAAACAACGGAATTCATCACGGGCCTGCGCGAAGGATTGCTCAAAGCTGAATAACTGCATGTTTTACTCGCTAGGAGGCTCGTGGTGCCGGATGTACAGTGACATCACTTCCTTTCTGACACAGACTAGCCCTGGCACAGTGGTGTGGAAGAGAACAACAGTGGCAGTGGACTAAATCCGGGCACCTGGGAATAGGGTTACGGCAAGCCTCGTTTTAGTTATTGCAGTATGATTCTGTAAGGTTACGCATGCGCGGAACAGTCACAGTACTATAACTGTTGTCCGGTTAAGTATGGGTGTGAGGTCGTATCGCTCCGTGAAATTAGCAGAAATCAGTAAATGTGCATATTCTCCTAATCAATGGTGAAGGTACAGTTTTCATCAAATGGACAATGTGGAGATGTTGTTGAGGATGCCCATTCACTTAAGAGTTGGCTTATGAAGATATAGAGGTGTCTATATTAGATAGTTAGGCGACACCAATGAAAAACGACGCGTTGTATATATTACGATAAAAATTGTTCTATCATAAAGTGATTATTGGAGGTTTGATTATACATTCGTTATTTTAAGACGTACTATATAGACGAAACTATGACGTCCTTGTGAGTACAGGCCGACAATTCAAGTGCCGAGTATACAGAAGTTATTAGGACAAATGGCCCTGCTGTCGTTATATTGTTGGACAAAATAGCTGTAATATGCCAAATGCCTGTACTACAATGGTATCAGACAATTTTAAATGTTTAAAACTACCGTTCGAAGTCACAAAATGTTACATTAAAGGAATTATTCGGCGACAGTTTGCAATTATGATTGATCGAATCATATTTACAGAAGCCCCTATATTTAGTTCCAAGTGAATTAACATCGTGGAAGTGATGAGTTCAAGGTATATATTCCACTGTACTTGTATTCATACACCTTATTCTGATGAACAGTTTGTTGTCAAATATTTCATATATCATTACAGGTCATGAATGGGCCACGAATGGACCATTTGTCAAATATACTCTTAAAAAAAAGTAGGGGAACCTGAACTTTTAATTTGGATAGGAAGTATAAGCGTTAACAAGCTTTTCAAAGACAGACATCGTATGTGACCCACCACCATTTCTTTTTATCACCACCCCTAAACACAATATCATGAGATGCACGTGCACAACACAGTAGCCCCATACACGTGCATGGGGTGTCATTCTTGATTTTAACGGTTTTACAGAAGATCGATAAATCACTGTAGACCACATTGACAATCATCTTGCATCACACAGTTGTTAGTGTTTGTTTCTAGCCGATTGTTTTGTTTGAAATTATAGACCAATCATCTTTCAAGAGTGATTACAGTCCAAACAACTCCGGTCACAAGGAAGAGCGAAGGAAGTGGTGATGCGCCCTCAAAACATTCATATTATCGTATCAACTTTGATTGACTCCGATATATCTACCAGTTTTTTCCATCGTAAATTAAAAATGAAGCCCCTCTACTATTTTTAAGAGTATATATCTTTCTCTGTCCGTCGACTGATGTTGGTCAAATATTCGACTCTCGCCATACCCTTGACACGACAAGAAGTGTATATACGACACTGCCCTGTACATACATTACCGACATACCTTTATGTGGGCTATATTTTATATAATGCCAAACCTTTTCTTGATCAACTGCTCGCGCAATACCTTGACATGACATGGCCTGTTTTTCCTACATTGGCCATACAATCCTTGATTGTCTCCGTGGGTCATACCTTGTCATGGTGTATATATACACATGTATATCCGACAATGGCCTTACCTGGCTGGCATTGCCTTCGTGGAGAGAAGCCCACAGTGGTGACGTGCAAGGTGTTGTCAAGCCGTTGATCATGATTACGAGGAATCTGGGACTCGAACCTGGGATTTTAAATATTAAGATGGAGACAAGGTTGGTTGACTGAAACCACACAAGGCTCTCGCCCCCATCAAATGTGTTGTCTTTTTTATCCTCCGCAATGCTTGGTCCAAGGGCCATTTCTGCCGAGGTCATCAGGGTCTTGTGGGGATGGCATACTGTTATTTGTCTGCGCTTTTATTTATCAACCCTGTTTGGTCTGAACTTGGAGTCGGAGGTACAGGTATTTAGTTGTCAGTTTAACCCACCTTATACGTTAAAGCGTTCGCTCATCACATCGAAGATCCGGGTTTGATTCTGCTCATTGGTACACTGTGTGACGGCCATTGATGGTGTCCCCCGCCGTGGTATTGCTGGAATATTGCTAAAAGCGGCGTAAAACCATACTCACTCACTATTCTTTAACGGGTAATATCTACCATTTGAGCGAAACATATATCCGGAGTCAAACGTTCCGATATTTACACTACACATGAGTACAGAACGAGGACATCAACATATGTTGATTCAGAGCACCTGGTGTCAGCCTTGTAGCTGATTAATGGGTGTAGGCGTGTGAACTCAATATTTATTGTGTACCTTTCATCAAGGGAGAGATAAGAAATTGAATTCTCTACAACGTTGGCATATTAAAAGACTCGATATGTGATCATAGCCAGGAACCACAAGACTGAACTTGACCAATGACGTCATCATAGTCAAGGACAATGAGATTCTAATGACGTCACATTGACGGACAACAATATTTAACAATGGAAGCTAAGTGCAAAATTGTTGTACAAATGCTTTAATGTTTACCATGAAACATCAATATCCTATATATGATTTATTCCATACACCATGCTACTGTAAGATATAACCCCCTAGCCTAGTCTCCGCTGCCTCTATTGTCGTCTATGTCGTAGATTCAAGCAATCAATGGGTCCATTTCTGGGCCCCCAATATGAAAACAGTCTCTGTAAACTTCGACCATGAGTCTTATACAAACACAACAGTTGAAAAACAACAAACAATCACTTAGCCTTGGTAATTGAACTCAATATTCCCGTATGTAAACGCCTATAACATGCACAGGACACGAGCAATAACAGATCTTGACCGAAAATACTGAAAACATAGACCACTGTAAACGGTACACGGCATATGATATGTTTGCATTGGTTCAGGGATAGCACCATTAACGGAATCAATCAAGGGTTATTTTTCAGGATAAGAAACACATCACATATACTACCTTTCGCAATATTTCGGACCCTAGACAAACAGTAGCTTAATGTTCACATCTTTCGGAGTATGCTGGTGAGTGAGTGAGTGAATGAGTGGTGAGTGAGTGAGTGAGTGAGTGAGTGAGTGAGTGAGTGAGTGAGTGAGTGAGTGAGTGAGTGAGTGAGTGAGTGAGTGAGTGAGTGGAGTGAGTGAGTGAGTGAGTGAGTGAATGAGTGACGTGAGGATCCCACGCTTTAACCACTAGACTATAGCACCGCGCATAATGTAATGTTGCTTGGTAACTCAGTACGGGTCACATGAGTAAGAGCAGGATTTGATTGGAAAATTATGTTTTCAGACAAAAAGAAAACACTCTCTGGTACTCGGGATCATGAATTGTTTGCGCCCAGTGAATAAATTGAGTGAGTGAGTTTAAACCTTTACGTCACACGGGCAGAATTCAACCCATATAGTGACCAAACCAGTTTTCTGTCACAAAGGACAGTCTAACAGCAGCGTGGTGTCACACAGTCAAGCCAAATTACTAATCAGGGCACAAATGTATTCTAATCAACAAATACAGCGAAATATGAAAAGGTCACTAAGGGAGTCGACTGTGATATGAGGGACCAGACGTTTTTGCGCATCCTCTTGCTCCTTCGTCAGGTGAAGAAAACTAGGAAGTAGAGAGCTATATACGTACATGGGAAACAACAATAGTGATGACGATGGTGGACACTTAACAAGGGAAGCCAGTAGTTGATTGGTCAAGACAGTGAACAAATAGAAGCCAAGAGTTGTTCCAGGTGTAAATTGTTTAGCTATATGGCGGCGGTCTGTAAATAATCGAGTCCTGACCAGGCAATCCAGTAATCAACAGCATCAGCATCGATCTGCGCAATTGGAAACCGATCCATGTGTCAACCAAGTCAGCAAGTCTGACCACCCGATCCCGTTAGTCGCCATTTACGACAAGCATGGGTTGCCGAAGACCAATTCTAATCCGGATCTTCACGGGTTTCCCTGATAGAAATCAGGTGACAGTGCAGTGAGGACATGGATGTCAGAGCAGATAATACAATTAATAAGTCCCAAAAGCTGGTCAGGTATTTCCTTTTCTTCCACGTCTCTATCACGGCACTGTCTTGTTTCAGCACGCAGGCCTGTTATTAACACAACAACCAATTCATCAATTGATCTTTATTTTTATTATCAGAAATATAGTGTGAATTGTGCAAATAAGCCGGCAACATATTTCACCTGTGACAAGAAACTCGATAAAAACATCAACGAACATAATGGAAAAGCTTTGAGAAATAAGCATGTTTTGAGCTGCTGGCATGTTTTTGCATCTTTATCAAAGATTGCAAAACGTTTGTCATCAATTCACTATTTACTTTCCGTATGAAAGCGCACAATGGAAGCTTCAGTTCCGATCATTCAAGGACATGTATTTCGATATATCCTGCAGAACATTATAAGATTTTTGTGGAAAACAATCCCTGCTTAAGCTGAAGGGAACTAAAAGAAGGATCAATGTCGTAGTGATCAATATTAACGATCACAGAAATGAACGGGGATCGAAACATGTCAACAAAAGATGACGAGAACATCCTATAAGCCTTCGACTTGGACAAACTCACTTTTCGGATTAGTTCTGAAGGAGATATCAACGTGGAGGGGACATGTCTTATATTTGTTCGGGTGACCTACAAAGTTGAAACGTAAAGTTTAAAGGTCACAACAGGAGGTAAATTATATTATTTGGCGACAAAAAATATAGATGTTATATTTATTGTAAATCCCCTGCTTGCTGTTCTTGAATTCACTCAGAGTGTCACTGAGGTACAGGAGGCTGTCAACCGTCCTACCTCCGCCCATGACATCGGACAAAACACTTTGTCTCAAAGGACGAACCCGTGAGTCATGTCAGTTTACACAGCTAGTACCAGTCACTCTGACTGTGATTTTTAGATAGACTGCTTGACCATGCTTGCTCATAAACTGAAGGGTAAACATATTATTGCTTAGCCACTTTCTCCAAGAAAATATATTTCAACACTGAATAAGTGACACCCGCCATGGCACCCAGCGTTATGACTCTGAGCCGACCAGTCCTAGAGTTATCTCCCTTATACCGAGCTCCAGGCAGGGTAACCAGAGGTACAATAATGAAGCGGCCAGGGGATCGAGTCAAGGGCACACAGATCTCAGGGCAGAAGCTGTGCCCATTAGACAAGACGGGAGGTAGCTTTTCCCAAGACAGTTGAACTATTTAAAGGTTGAGACATATAGTCGTTAGGGGCAACATTCACAGAAGACCGTCCCTGTAGAGATCAGAGTATATTATGCCTACAGTACTTCATGCATGTGAACCTGGGAGATCCCAGGTCCGGGTAGGTCCCAAGTAACTCATTCATGTCGACCCTGTGTGGATCCCAGGTCCGGGTAGGTGCCTAGTAACTCATTCGTGTCGACCCTGTGGGGGATCCAAGGTCCCGGTAGATCTCCAGAACTCCATTCGTGACCATATGGAGATCACAGGTCTGAGTATCTGAACAGCAAAACATGCTTATCGCCTCTGATGGTATTTAAGGCCATAAAAGGTCACCACCATCGCAAAGTTATTTTAAGGGCCGAGCAAAGTGGGTTAGGGTGTTCACTCTGCCAACAATGGCACGTGATCGTACTTCATAAGCATACTGGTCAATGCTTCCAGGCTGGAACAGACCGCCGTCATAGAGCTGGATATGTTTTACTGCGGCAAGACAAAACTTTCACAAGATTACCATGTTATCATACGTTTGTTACCATGAAGTCGACGAATGCAAATTCCAAGTCCTGGTTCGCCCTCATTATGATTCAACTGCAGTGACAACTGGAGAATCTCCAGGCGCTGCATTATGTTGGGTCCTCCTCCCACACTGACCTGACAGCATGTGACACACTGTCTGACACCATGTGACACACTGATCTGACACCATGTGACACACTGTGACACACTGACCTCACCATGACACACTGACCTGACACCATGTGATCTGACACCATGACACACTGACCTGACACCATGTGACACACTGACCTGGCACCATGTGAGACACTGACCTGACACCATGACCTGACACCACTGACACTGACCTGACCCATGTGACACACTGATCTGACACCATGTGACACACTGACCTGACACCATGTGACACACTGACCTGACACCATGTGACACACTGACCTGACACCATGTGACACACTGACCTGACACCATGTGACACACTGACCTGACACCATGTGACACACTGATCTGACACCATGTGACACACTGATCTGACACCATGTGACACACTGACCTGACACCATGTGACACACTGACCTGACACCATGTGACACACTGACCTGACACCATGTGACACACTGACCTGACACCATGTGACACACTGACCTGACACCATGTGACACACTGACCTGACACCATGACACACTGACCTGACACCATGTGACACACTGACCTGACACCATGACACCTGATGACACCATGACACACTGACACACTGACACTGACACCCATGTGACACACTGACCTGACACCATGTGACACACTGACCTGACACCATGTGACACACTGACCTGACACCATGTGACACACTGACCTGACACCATGGACACCACCTGAAACCACTGACCTGACACCATGTGACACACTGACACTGACCTGACACACATGTGACCACTGATCTGACCTGACCTGACACCATGTGATACACTGACCTGACACCATGTGACACACTGACCTGACACCATGTGACACACTGACCTGACACCATGTGACACACTGACCTGACACCATGTGACACACTGACCTGACACCATGGGAACCACTGACCTGACACCATGTGACACACTGACCTGACACCATGGGAACCACTGACCTGACACCATGAGAACCACTGACCTGACACCATGTGACACATTGACCTGACACCATGTGAACCACTGATCTGACACCATGTGACACACTGACCTGACACCATGTGAACCACTGATCTGACACCATGTGAACCACTGACCTGACACCATGTGAACCACTGACCTGACACCATGTGACACACTGACCTGACATCATGTGACACACTGACCTGACACCATGTGACACACTGACCTGACACCATGGGAACCACTGACCTGACACCATGTGACACACTGACCTGACACCATGGGAACCACTGATCTGACACCATGTGAACCACTGACCTGACACCATGTGACACACTGACCTGACACCATGTGACACACTGACCTGACACCATGTGACACACTGACCTGACACCATGGGAACCACTGACCTGACACCATGTGACACACTGACCTGACACCATGATGTATGACATCATGTGACACACTGACCTGACACCATGTGACACACTGACCTGAAACCATGTGACACACTGACCTGACACCATGTGACACACTGACCTGACATCATGTGATATACTGACCTGACACCATGTTACACACTGACCTGACACCATGTGACACACTGACCTGACACCATGGGAACCACTGACCTGACACCATGTGACACACTGACCTGACACCATGTGACACACTGACCTGACACCAGGTGATATACTACCCAGATGAAGTCAAGGAACACCCGGTGTCATACGAGATCAACTATAGTCATATCAACAAGACAGACACTCTTTAGTTTCTCTGGAATTGTTGTATCTGAAATCCAACTGAAACACTGATAAGAGAAACATATTTACACCAGGAAATAATTCAAACATATTATTCTACTTTGAAGGATTACTACTGACATACATTAAGGTACAAGAAGGTCAATACATCAAGATAAATATACTTGGTTACAAAATACAATCAATAAGCAATAGAGTGAGTGAATTGAAGTTTAACATCGCATCAGCATTTCTTCATTTATATAGTGAAAATAAACTGTAGAACACTCGAGATTCTTGGACTGGGATAAACTCTTTACAAATATCCAAAACGGCAACAGCTGATAATTACTTGATACTTGATTGTCCTAAGAATCCGTCAGATGGCAAAATCGTGGATAAAGCACACCGTACAATACAATATAAACGAGCACTATATACAAATACAAATACATAAAAAATATAATTATTTACGTTTAACAATTCCTTTCTTTGTTCATTTGAGAAACACCTATCGTCATGCTAATATGCCGATAAATAATTTGATTCGATCTCTGTAATCGCAAATCTAAAAACAGAGTGTACAGATGATGCGGAAGTTGACGCACCAGGTGTCTCAGTTACAAGAACAACTGATGCAGGTATTTCGCACACCTGTACTGGAACCATGTGGGCTATCAGAATGACCCTTATTGGAGGTCAAGTCCTGCAGGTAAAGTCCACTCTATGTAACTGTGATGTGGAACTAGGCCAGGCCCCCGCTCCACAAAGCGACCGTAGCGCTAAGGTGATCGTAACTCCCATACTTTAATATAGACTTACGACTGCCGTAGCGCTAAGATGATCGTAACTCCCATACTTTAATATAGACTTACGACTGTCGTAGCGCTACGATCGCTTTGTGAAACGGGGCCCAGGTTGGTATGTCAGCATGCACGTGTCATCGTCACGTGGAGTACCAGCATCTGAATAAAAGGGCAACAGCAACACATGTTAATATCACACGGGCAAACCTAATCAAAACATGAATTTCTTTATAAAATCGGTATTTTTATTGGAAATACACGTTTGGAATAAATTGCACCAGTGCATATTCTGTATCCACTAATTACGACATACAATTGTACAGAAGCTGTACCCGTGCACAGGGGCATGTCGCGCTTAAAAACAGCGTTAGAAAGACATATAGGTATATAGACCTACCCTAGTACTATACTGTGTACCCGTGAAGGTCCGGGTTAGAATATTGATCTTCAGTAACCCATGCTTGTTGTAAAAGGCGACTAACGGGATCGGGTGGTCAGGCTCGCTGACTTGGTTGACACATGTCATCGGGTCCCAATTACGCCGATCGATACTCATGCTGTTGATCACTGGATTATCTGGTCCAGACTCAATTATTTACAGACCGCCGCCATATAGCTGGAATATTGCTGAGTGCGGCGTAAAATTAAACTGACTCACTCACAGAAGCTGTGGTGGATGAGTGAGTGACTGAGTAGGTTTTAAACAAACGTTGAATACGGACAGACAGAATTTATGAAAAGGCCTTAGGACCATGAAACAAAAGGTGAATACATAATCTCCATGATCCTCATCCATAAAGGTCGTAGGGACCCAACGTAACTTTGTCCATCGGGACCCATAACTGTACGAAATCTCTGCTCATACATCGTCCATTGTACGATTCCGACAATATCCTTCAATACATTTCCCATCAATGATTATATTTTTTGTATTTTTAAAAAACAGCATATGTTAAGATGGATGAAAGGTTTGAGTGATGCAGGCTATGCAGGATCCTGCTGGCACTATGGGGGACAACCCCGGTTGTCGGTGTCGTGGGATATGTTCGTCATTGACCTGGTTTTCATGGCAAGTAGGAGTTACACAAGCAGGTAGTTGAGAATGGCACAGCAAATATCCAAAACATGTATACCTGCTTTTGACTGGCGTCTTTTCCTTTTCTTGACTAAAGCGTGGTGATGATGACGAATACGACGACAGCTGCACATGTGGTTCCCCTCGCCACGACTACAGTGCTCGAGGAATCTGAAACATCTGAAAGCATCGCTCAGTGAGTGCAGGCTTATCGCAGCAAGACTCAGCATATGAAAGGCTTGCTCGGGAATAGGACAACTGCTCCTTGCAATGACTGATAGGGGCGGTGGGGGTAGCCTAGTGGTTAAAGCGTTCGGTTGTCACGCCAAATACCCGGGTTCGATTCCCCACATGGGTGCATTGTTTGAAGCCCATTTCTGGTGTCCCCCCCCGCCGTGATATTGCTGGAATATTGCAAAAAGCCGTGTAGAATTAAGGTCACTGACTAAAATGATTGATACAGTAGCCGCCACACTTAGCAGTAAAACCTACAGTAACTACTACTACTACTACTACTACTACTACTACTATTACTACTACTCCTAATACTACTACTACTACTACTACTACTACTATTACTACTACTACTGGTCCAGACTTGATTATTTACAGACCGCCGCCATATAGCAGGAATATTGCTCAGTGCGGCGTAAAACTGAACTCACTCACTCACTCAGTACTACTTCTATTACTACTGTACGAGGCGACTAAAGGGATCGGGAGGTCAGGCGCGCTGACTTAGTTAACACATGCAATCGTATCCCATCGTATGCGTAGATCGATGCTCATGGTGTTGATCACTGGATTGTCTGGTACAGACTCGATGATTTACAGACCGCCGCCATATAGCTGGAATATTGCTGAGGGCAACAATTTTACCTTGACAGGATTCGAACTCGTACTATTGCCCTGGCGTCCAAACACTGTAAGCAGTGTGCTATCTCTGTAGGTACACAGTGTGCAGGTGGTGTTATTTCAAACAGAGAAGCACACTCAATAAACTGTTGAAACTTCTAAAGAACTGCTTGGAATATCAGTTTGACAAACAGAATCTTACGAGGTGGCGTTGTCACGCTGATGGACGTGTAGTCGCTTGATCCATGTTGGTTGAACGCAAGCAAGCGAACAGTGTACTTGGTATCAGCTTCAAGATCTCCGAGTTCCAGTCGCAAGTCGTCATCCTCGCTCAGTATGGTTTTATGTGTGGTCCAGTGTCCGCCATCTCGTCGGTATTGTATCGTGAAGTTTTGGTTGGCACCGCCACTGGAACCTTTCTCCCACGTTAACGTTACGGACCCAGGCGTGATGGATGACACGTGCAGATTCCTTGGTGTGTCTGGCTGAGCTACAGATGAGTGAGTGAGTAAGTGGGTGTAGTTTTACGCCTTTTCTATCAATACTCCACTAACATGACGGCAGGGGACACCAGAAATGGGCTTCACGCATTGTATCTCTGTAAGGAATGGAACCACAACCCGGGTCTTCGACCTGACGAATGAACGGTTTAACCACTAGGCTACCCCACCAACCGAGAGCTGCAGAGGATCGGAAGCATGTTGTGTATACCAGTATAGTAAAACCTACTTGATCCCGATAGTTGTGCATTAAATCAGTTGATCATTCCGACGATTTAGAAAGGACCAGATAAAACAGGTTTCGCTAAATAAGAGTATACAATGTACTGTTGGGAAAATAATCGTTAACACTGTGTGCATGTATCTAACACAATAAAGAAAATTATGTCTTTTATTTTCTGATTTATTAGAAACAGTATTTCAAGCGTTGGCATAACAGAATCTTACGAGGTGGCGTTGTCACGCTGATGGACGTGTAGTCGCTGGATCCATGTTGGTTGAACGCAAGCAAGCGAACCGTGTACTTGGTATCAGCTTCAAGATCTCCGAGTTCCAGTCGCAAGTCGTCATCCTCGCTCAGCATGGTGTTATGTGTGGTCCAGTGTCCGCCATCTCGTCGGTATTGTATCGTGAAGCTTTGTCTGGCACCGCCATTATAACCTTTCTCCCACGTTAACGTAACGGACCCAGGCGTGATGGATGACACGTGCAGATTCCTTGGTGTGTCTGGCTGAGCTACAGACGAGGGAGTGAGTGAGTAAGTTTAGTTTTACGCCTTTTCTAACAATATCCCAGCAACATCACGGCGGGGGACACCAGAAATGGGCTTCACACATTGTACCCACGAGGGGACTCGAACCCGGGTCTTCGGCGTGACGAACGAACGCTTTAACCACTGGGCTACCCCACCGACCCGAGAACTGCAGGGAATTAGAAGTACATCGTGCATATCCCTATAGTAAAACCTATAGTCGTGCATTAAATCATGAGCGTGGTTAATTCCGACAATTTAGAAAGGAACAGTACTATCCCGATAAAGGATGTTTCACTATATAGGAGTATACAATGCGCTGACGGGAAATTAATGGACACGTATCTTACAGCATCCTTCATGTCCTGATTTATTACAAATAGAATTCCAGACGTCATCATTTTCTTTTAACAGGAGTGTATTTACTTTTTAACGCGTGAAGAGAGATTTCTATAGAATTTAAAAACCGAATAACCGTTTTACGGATGTTTATTAACAGCGATGTTGTTCAGCTCTTCTTACAGAACAACACAGCTGTTTCCCGTGTTGCCGGTGAACAGGGTGCACAGCATTGTATTACGCATGGCTGCGACCTTGACAGCATAGTGATTTAAGGGATAAACTATTAATTGATGGGTTCATCGATGTGTGAACGATTCAAACGCGAGCTTGCGTTAACCTGATCAATTCTCATAATATCTTACTTTGTAGTCTACTGTTCTCGCCCTATAACAACGTAACAATAATTTATCGGTTTGAAGCTGATTTCGCGGCAGAACGTTGCAACAATGCTACTTTATCGGTATATGTCGGCTCACATCCTTTTCCTATATTCATACCCAGTTAACAAAAATAAAATAGGAACTTAATAATATACTACACTGGCTGAAAATATTTCTACATCAATATATTGACTTGTTATTCTTTAAACAAACTGACAAATAAGTAATCCCATTATGAATATAGATAACCTGAAAATGAAAACCATCCAATAAGAACATGACTCAACCGTCAGGTGTGAAGCGATATGTGACGTAATGGAAGTTTGTGAAGAAGTGCAGGTTGCTTAAAAATGGACTGGTACTATGGACTGGTACTATGGACGGGTACTATGGACGGATACTATGGACTGGTACTATGGACGGATACTATCAGATCAGATGACTACTCATCAGCCAATAATCTTGACAGAAATGGCGTAGACATTAAACTGGCGTTCTGTGGCTGAACATGGAACATCTTCCCGTTTTTATGCTTTTGATGTTTTGAAATACCGGGACTCAGTTGTGGATATATCTGATCTACACACTCATTGTGTATAAACTCTGCTGTATAAACATCTCATTATTATTTGTACATCATTGGCTTCCACTCCTGTCCTTTGTCTACTCTCTGGCTTCATCAGCTTTCTGCCTGGCCAATTATGTTAATTATGTTGTTTTCTTCGTTACATTGTTATATCCAGTATATATACACTTCCCCCTTCTTCATGTTCCATTATGCTTGACAACGGTACAAGAATCTGTATCGAAACGTCACGCCCACGAATAAAAAGAAGTTGTTATCCATAAGGTTTGTTCTATATTGTACTTCCCAACTTCAAAAATGCCACTAAAAGAAGTTTACAGGTTTAGTTTGAACAATAGCTCTAAATTCCTAAAACGTGTATGGAAATTTGTCACGTAACTAGTCTACCGCGCATATTGTACGATGTTCCAACCGTGTAATTTTCATTTTATCACTTCTTAACGCTGTATAGTAGGTTGGTAGACTAGCTCGAATAGCTCCACTTTCTTAAAGAACAGCTACACTAGCGGTCGGATCGATGGACTTTCGCTTCAGGCAAGTAGAAACAGTGTATTCTGGAATATTCTAGTGAGTCAGAGTTCTGGAAGCTTTTAAATGTATATAAGGGGAGCTAACTCTTGTCGTTACCATCTCCTATTACACGGTAAGAGACATGCAATGGTTGGTGAAGACCAACTCTAACCCGGATCTTCACGGTAAGAGACATGCAATGGTTGGTGAAGACCAACTTTAACCCGGATCTTCACGGTAAGAGACATGCAATGGTTGGTGAAGACCTACTCTAACCCGGATCTTCTCGGTAAGAGACATGCAATGGTTGGTGAAGACCTACTCTAACCCGGATCTTCATGGTAAGAGACATGCAATGGTTGGTAAAGATCAACCCTAACCCGGATCTTCACGGGTTGTAGCACAGAGGTCAGCTGTTAAAGAGGAGGACGACAACTTACAGAGAGGAATCAGCATTACGTTCAGCATCCTGGTCCCCTCCGTGTTTGCCACGGTCACTGTGTAGTTCTGGAAGTCCTCTTCCTTAACATCAGAAATGGTTGCACTTCCGGTCGCACGAAAACCCTCTGTTGTGACATTGGTGTTGGTCAATGGCTGTCCCCCTGACGTCTTGTTCCACGAGAATGTAGGTTCCGGGAACGCTATGACGGCAAGGCTCAGAGTAATGGATCTGTTGAGGGCGGATCTGAACACTCGTCCGCCTTCTGTAGATTCATCTGGTCTTGGGGAACCTGGAACAGAACAAGAAAACATCGTTATAAATTTAAATGTTCCCTTATCACCCCAACCTCCTCACCTCACTCCACCCATCTGCACCATGGTGAAAAGCAAGACACTAATTTCGATATCAGTTAAGAACGTGATAAGTTACATCTGTGTAAAATTTCAGTTCTCAACTTACAGAAGACTACAGTAAGTTTCTCCCGCTTGAAAAGCTGAAGGACGGACGGTATCCAATACCACACGGCCCAGTTCGAGGTCGGGGTAAATATATGTATTAATGCCAACTTCAGGGTGATATATTCAATAAGTAAAGCATTGAGGTTATCCAATCAATGCTTCAGATACTGGATGTCAAACGCCAATACTTGCATTTTACTTGTAAAGATATGTTGCGTTCCACAGCTTGCCCGATCAAATTCCTTGCAGAACATGTGTAAGGACCCGCGTGACGACAGTCAACGTCTTCGATCCTCGCTTCCACGGTGCTGCTGTTAGTGCCACTACCTAGGCTGGAGGTCTCATCCAAGATCTCTATGGTGGAAACAGGAGAACTGTTGGTGTTGCACTGCATTGTCACGTTGTCGTGTTCCGTCACCGTCACGCTTCTGCTGCCAGAGGTGACACCAAAATACTGGATATCTGGAACACCATTATTTAACCGATCTGATGACCACAAGTAACACCAGACACTGCCCACAAGTTCCTGGTTTAACACCAGGTACCATCTCTCGGCATGACGTGTCCAAGTAAACCAGGAAAGCGAAATATACTAAATGTCATTTGAAGCTACATGCAGTGTATGAAGTCAGTGAATATGTTTGTTTGTTGTTTAACGCCGCACTCAGCAATATTCCAGCTATATGGTGGCGGTCTGTAAATAACTATGGACCAGACAATCCAATGATCAACAGCAATTGGGACATGATGACATGTGTCAACCAAGTCAGCGAGCCTGACCATCCGATCCCGTTAGTCGCCTCTTACAAGCATGGGTTGAGGAAGACCATTTCAGGCCCGGATCTTCACGGATAAGTATGCAATGTAAACATCGTGTTGACAAATATACTAGTTACAGACATTTGTTTGTTTACGACGTCTATTGCAAGAAGATTAGGCTACACAAATCTCTATCGAGTCAAGCCATAGGATGAATTACAAATTGTAACCACTTTATCATCGTGACATACAAGTGTACTTTCTGAATGTGACTGTGGCGGTGAGCAGGTGGATGGGTGCCACCTCCGGCAGCTGTACTCCTGATGGGTTACCAAGTCCTGCCTCACACTAAAACACACGTTCCCATGCCGTTGTGGCTCCCATGGCGAGTGAGTGAGTGAGTGGCAATATTCCAGCAATATCACGGCGGGGGACACCAGAAATGGGCTTCACACATTGCACCCATGTGGGGAATCGAACCAGGGTCTTCAGCGTGACGAGCAGAAGCTTTAACCATTAGGCCCCACCACTCTGTTTGGTAATCGACTATTCTCAGGCTTTGACATTTTAATTTACATAACGTCTTTTAATGATTCACTTCCTGGACTAAATGTTCTACTTACATTGTATGTCCAGATGCACTATGCTGCTCTTCATCCCCTCGGCCTGACACATCCATGCTGTTCCGTGTTTCAGCGAAGTACTCCCGATGGTCAGAGAGAACACGTGTTGTTGTTCCTCAACACGTGAACACGGGTAGGTGGGCGTGCCCACGATGTTCCCTGTAGTTGCCATCAACCGGCAGACAACTGCATACGTCCCTCCTTCCTGCATCATGAAGGTAACCAAACCCATGTCTGCATCACTGACACGACAGGTGAAGGTGACCGGATGTCCAAGGAAGACGTCATTAGCTGACGTGTCCAGGGTAATGCTTCCGCCTTGGAGAAAAAAAACGACAGGAAAAATCCCGTATTCCGGTTTTAATCTTCAATACTGTTATGGGGCAGTGTTATTCATTTAAAATATTCCAAGTGTAATACATTGTAAACGTGATATTCAGTGAGGGGCAGTTTAGTGCTATAACTAGACTTGTGCTATATTTAAATAACCAAAAAAAGGAATTTTCTTCTAAATACTTGGGTCTCTCTCGTGTGTTCGAAACAATATGAGAACTTCCAGAGTATTTAATGTGTGTTGGAAACAACGTGAAATTCAACACAAAGAGGTTAAAAAGCGATCCGTGAAGATCCGGTTAGAATTGGTCTAAGCAAACCAGGCTTATCGTGAGACGCGGATAACGAGATCGGGTGGTGAGGCTCGCTGACTTGGTTGACTTATTGCACCCTATCCCTATTGCGTAGATTGATGCATATGATGGCAGTCACTGGATTGTGCGATCCAGACTTGATTATTTCCAGACCATCGCCATATTCATTTGTTACTGGAATATTGCCCATCATTATAAAACTAATAGATTATTTGCTAATGAAACAAAAATAAAAAGGGACAGGGGACTCGAGGGGAGGTGAAAATACAAGAGCTGTAGTGAAAATACTCCGAAACCTATTGCAAGATACAGCTCCCCAATATTCCACATTCCCCGGGAAACACACATGTGAGATAATCAAATGTTACCCAACTGTAACGCATAACAAGTAAGATATACTTACAACGGACCAAGAATCTCAAACAAGTCACAAAAAGCAGCACTTGTAGAAGAACCGTGCGTGTCATGACCTTCATCTGCAATGTGCCTGGTCAAGTATCACTGATCAAATCTATGACTGGTCAAATCTGACTGGTCAAGTCTATGACTGGTCAGGTCTATCCTGATCCAGTCTATCACTCATGAAGAATGTAATCCAGGTGGAATCAGTCCTAGCTGTACTATGAAACTGTCTGTGTAAAGTGTGGGAGTTCACTATACAGTCACACAAAACTGAAACCCGGAAACAGCTCTATTTCCTTTTCACTAGCTTGTCATAACTTGTCAATGTGGGATGGGGCAGGGGTTGAGGTAGTCTGTCTCACAGTCCCTGAACCACATTAATTTCCCTACTGCCAAGCCCTCTCTGCAGCGCTAAAGCCCTAAATAAAGCAAGTCTAGATTTCCTCAGGTTCACTTCCATTGAACAGTTTGTTTAAAAAAAGGTGGTTATCTATATCCTCTTCGCATATTATACAAATGGGAACTTTTGAATTTGGAGATAAGTTCAAATTCATAAATAATTTAGTTGGTGTTGCACACAGATCTTGCACCTTGGTCATCTAGTGTCCAAGTGACATTGTGGGCTGCAAGTTTCCCAACAGTAAAATGTTAGGCAGCAGGGGCACTTGACCGGCCCACATGAGGTAATGACAGCATGGAGATAGGACAGGGCTTAACAGGAGGGCCAATAAATATGCCTTTCACTTATAGCGTTATGTGATGGTTGTATGATGTGATTTCTAATTGGTAATGACCCCAGCACGTGTAGCCCCAATGCAGATGTTCTTAGTCTCTGAATCTCTGGTCTCCCTAGGGCTCCTTTTCAATATAAATGGGCTTGTTTGTTACTATCAAAATTATATATATTCAGAGACTAAGCCTTAGTCTAGGGTTGAGGCTTCAACGGTTTGTGTTGTGTTGTGTTAAGCGTTATTGGACGGACTCGGACGGGAGAGACAATATGGAATTGATGGACTGATGGAGAGGATAGATGTGGTGTGAGAGGCGTGTTATGATTGACAGTGGGGGGTTATCTGTGATAGCGTGTACTGTTGAGGGGGAGAAGAATACCTTCGTTGTCATTGTGTTTGCAATAAAACGATTGTTAGTCGGCATCTGACTAAAGTCAGTCCCACCCAAAGCCACAATATGTTTCCCGAAACTGAGATAAGGACGGTCTGAGTGAAAACAAAGGGTATCACTTCTTCCCGGTTACCCGGCAACAGGAATGAGTATATAGCACACGTGATTTCGCTTCGAGATTATCTGAGTTAAAATCAAACAACAAGTTCTCAAAATACATATTTTCAGTTGTGTCCTGTCCTTTTCATTGTTGACAACAAGAATCAGAATTTACACGATTTGGTCATCCATGGCCATATTGTCAAAAGTGTTGGGAATTATTTGAAATCTCACAACTGATAGTTGGTTCATTACCAACGACTAATCATCGAAAAAATTGGTTAGCGTCATTTTTCAGATTTTCCTATTCAGGTTGGTATTGCAGATAGGTATAATCTGGTTCTCTACTGTTTTTGTTTTATTTAGAAACTGCGCAAATTTCATATCCAATGTAAAATGATGCAACTCGCTACTTTATAGTGATGACTAATGAACATAAGCTTCCTGGAGTTTTCAAGAAAGATTCAGTCATGACCTTCAGTAAGTGAAGTGAGCTTTCTAAGAAACATGTTTTCAGGCCCTGACAACTTCTAAGATATGTTCCATCGTCAAGCGTTTCAAACACTGAAACAGTAGTGACAAAATCGTTTGTGTTCGATTATGAGAAAATGTGATCGATTGCTTGGTCGTTTGGTCACTGCGACCAATCTTCGATTATTTTAATCAATTGGAACACCACTAATTGTCAGTAAGTTTAGTTTTACGCTGATTTTAGCAATATTCAAGCAATATCACGACGGGGGACACCATAAATGGGCTTTACAAATTGCACCCATGTGGGGAATCGAACCCGGGTCTTTGACGTGACGAGCGAACGCTTTAACCACTAGGCTAACTCCCTCTTCTTATTTCTGCAGAATAAACAAACGTGCATCCATTATGACTGTGTTAGAGCAGTAGCCAGGGCATGACGCGGTAGTTACATGTACTGTCTGTCTAATCAAAGCAGAGCATGATATAGGTCCGTGAGTAAATCAATATCTTTGCATGGAATCTTACACAGAATTTGGAAACATCACAATATGTTGCTGATATTAATCATATAAATATATTATTTAAATATTTTGATAGTACATTTAATGATATCATTCACTATGAATAACGACTGTGCTGTGACGCCATGACAACAAAGACAGTCTTCGTTAAGTACAATGTTTAAACTAATGTGACATTAGATCCACATTTGTTTATGAAATTAACTCTAATATCAAACCATGATGTTCAGGAAATACTGTCTACAAGAAGATAGTAATTAATGTTAACTGATTCGATTCACAACTGAATGATCCTAGCAAACAGATGTTGCTGGGTTTATTCAATATATTGTTCCTGTTACAAAGTACATTATCTTCTTGAATGCTGTACAAACCTACTTATGGTTTATTATGTACGTTTTTTATGACATTTTTGAATGCAAAAGGAAAAAAAACCCATGATCTGTGGTGTTTTCATTAATCACTGGTTAACTGTTTTACTGTTGACAGGATAACATCGAAATCTGTATGATTTGACAGCAGGCATCGTGACCCGCCCTTTAAGAGATGGGGTGTCAAAAAGCAGTGTTCGCATATTCAGTATCGAGTGTGTCCACCATTGGCGTTGATGCAGGCTTGACAACAACGACGCATAGACGACACTAAGCGATTGGAGAAAGCGTGGGGATTTAATCAACGCTCGTCCCGATTCAGCTTACGTCAATGGTTGATTCTAGGCTTGACGTAAACGTCGCTCCATTTCATCCTAAGAATGTTCTATAAGGGACAGGTACAGAGAAACAGCTGGCCAGGGGAATACCGGAATGTTCTGCTGTCTCAGGAAATCTGTTACAACGAAAACGACTTGTGGACGGGAATTATCTTGCTGAATTTACGTGTCTGTCCTTGAATGAACAGATGCACATGTGGACCAATGATATGATCTCATCCCTGTATCGCAGACTTGTGAGATTGGTAATGACAATGACAAGTTGTCTCCGACCTTGAGATGTGATGTTCCCCAATACCATAACCTTTTCTTCCACAAAACAGTCGACGTTGAACAACGGATGCGACAGCATAATGTTTACTCCATCGTGTGTCACCCTTGCCACGCCACCTGAGCTATCCAGATGAAAAACCATCCCAATCTTGTCTCATGTACCGTCAATGTTGACTGCACAAGGCAAGACGTGCCTGTCAGTGGCGTTGGAGCAAAATTGGACGCACTAGAGACAATCGGGGCTCCCGCATTAGACAATCGGGGTTCCGTATAGTCCTGGGCCTAGATTTTCGAAGCTCTCTTAGCGCTAAGATAGTCGTAAGTTAATGTTAATGTATGGCACTTACGACTATCTTAGCGCTAAGAGAGCTTCGAAAATCTAGGCCCAGGAACTGATTGGACGTAAGCCAGGAATGGCCCGAGCAGTCAAACTGGAAGTCTGGAATCGATTCCTTAGATGGGTCAGCCGAATGTGGCTGTCTTGCTAACGTGATGGCACGTGTGGACGACCGGTCCAAAGCAAATCTCTCGAGCTCCCATTGTGTTGAAAACGTCTCCATGGAGGTGATATCGTGTTTCGATGGACACCAAAATGTCTGGCCACTTCATTTGGGGCCATTCTAGCCTCCAGCATTCCCACGGCGCGCAGTTTAGGCTGACATTTACGTCACTTTTATCTGGTGTAAGACTTCTGTGAAGAATCTTTTCAAAAGCGCTATTGAACCTGGGTCTAGAAATACGCTTTGTACATTGTGAATGGAAAGCAGCAGTTAATGTGTATATTTTAAATTAGGGGATGTATTGATCAGCATGTCCAGCAGTCCGCCGTCCGTCTATATGTCCGGAGCAGAAGTCCTGAGACGTTGAATATGCAATAAGTATTAGATTAGACATGTTTAGTCACTATAATAATGGGTCATGGGGATCAACTTGGAAAAACAAAGTGATGGTGGTTCGTGGGAAGAAACAGAGACGTCATCTCAGCCCATATGAAACGCATTTTTGTTTGAAAAAATATATAGGAAAAATGGCTTTACAGTTTGTGATTTTGTTTCTCATCGTTAGACGTCAACAGCGGTGTCTGGCAACAGTAGACGCAGTGTTTTCAGTCAGCCACGATGACAGTTGTTTTGTTGGCCACACACGTAGACGTCTGCCGCAACATCGGAGTGACACACACTGGCTTTGTAGGATGCCCTGACCTTTGTACCGGCCGGAAGTCCGCCACACCCGTGGTCACATGCCCACTCCTTGACTTTCCGGTCACATTCCGTGCCGCATGTGATGAGTTCCTGGGCTCTGCATGGACAGTGGACAAGACGCCGACAATGCTGGATGGAGCCAAAGTCTTTGAAGACTTGTCCGTAGTTGTGGTTGTTCACAGCCTTGCAGAAACAACTGAAACGAAACGAAAAAAACAACAACTGAAACAAAAGGAAAAATGTAACAACAGAAAAAAACCCGGAACATGTAAAGAAACATAAAGAAATAACCGAAAAAACTAAACAACAGAAAACTGCAACAACGAAACAATTAAAACGTCTCGGCTCAAATATAAAATTTATTTAAGAATCAGTGTTTCCGCTGACGTCATTATTTATCGGACACTGTGTCTGGTGACCTAACATTTTACCGGTCATGAATGAAATTTGCCGGTCATATCCTATTACCATAAAAGTACTCATTTTAAAGTTATTTTTAGCCTGGGTATTTCCGAAACATAACAGTTTTTGTGACCATGAAAGCACAGCCAAGACTGTCATTTCGCTTACCCATGATGTTTATATTTTAATACAAGATTATTTACCGGACAAAGTGTCCTGCTGGCTTTCAATTTACTGGTCCCTAACAAATTTTACCGGCGATTTTCAGGTATATACCGGAGAACGGAAACACTGAAGAATATTCTGGAACCGGGATTTTCCTGGCATTATTCCTGTCCCCAAATCGGATAAGCATCATAAGTATTCTAGTAATTACTGCCCAACAGCACAATCCAACTGTGTCTGCTAATTAAATTATGAACGAATGATCAATCCTAATTGAA